GTAAGTTTGCATCCCAATTTTGGCAACGAAGAGCGAATATAAGAAAGTTTTTTAGACAGATTCTATACGGTCTTTGTGGACCGCGTACTGGATGTTTCAAATTATTCATAAATGACCTTACACTTGCTTTAAGAAATTCTTTTATTCGATTACGCAGATGATCTGAAACCTTGTATTCAATGAAAAGGTGCAAATTAAGTTTCTCACTCGTGATTTAATTAAAAAAAATTATTTTTATTTTTTAATCACTTAATCACTAATACAATTTTTCAATAGGTCGAACTTAGTTTATTCACTGCTCGTTTACTTTTACTCGATTAGCACTTCTGCTCGATTCGGATCTCAAAAACGGACTCCGCGATCTCTAGTTCAATGATCAATAATCAAACCTCGGCTTAAGAGAATTTATCCCCAAAAATTGATAAAGAGAATGGCTCAAGAGAGTCGGAAAATAGGATGATGCAATTTGCCAATTTAATTTGAAGTCCAATCTTGACCGGAAATTGGTGTTTACATTAGCGGAGTTTAGGGACCGCTTTGGGAATTTTTTTGTGTACGTTAGCGGACTCGGGGCTCGCTTTGGGGATCTTTTGTTTACGTTAGCGGACTGGATGTTTCGTTAGCGGACTGGATGTTTACAGCATCCGTTTGATTTGGGCTGCGTGAAATTGATCTCGGTAGGAATGATTCGGAGGCCTGGTTGACAGAAATAGCTGACCACGAATTTATCACGGGTGTGTCAGAGTTATTTGGAAATTGGCTCTCGGCTCTAAGTTGTTTATAAATTGGGTAAGAGCTTCTAAATAATGTGTCATATAATTTGCATTCTACCGGAGCAATCGGACCTGAAACAACTTTCAAGTTTGGATCTCTGCAAAGTTATTAAATCTTAACGGCTCTAAGTGCAATGGTGACCTTTAGTCCCTCTAATCCCACGCTTTAAACCACTTGTATACTATGTCGTGTATTCCTTGATAGGATTAACCTAGTGGACGACTTAGGTATCTTATTGAATGCAAAACTTAAATTCTCCGACCACATTTATTCCATGGTTAATAAAGCCAGGGGTGTGCTAGGTTTTATAAAAAATGGTCGAACGAATTTAATGACCTTTACGTTACAAAAACTTTATTTGACTCTGTCGTTCGTCCGATCTTAGAGTATGGATCTTGGTTTGGAATCTCCAGAACGCGGTCTACCAAGACTGCACAGAATCTGTCCAAGAAACTCCCTTATATTTGCTTTTCGTGGCCACAATTGGGATGCAAACTTACATGTCCTTTTAATGCTTGGCGTTGTCTTTTTTACTTATCGCAATGACAGACTGCTACACATAGAGCCCACAACCTGTCTGTCTGTTCTTCTCATTTTCTTCTTTTCCATTTTAGCGTTGTTTATTGTTTTTCTTATGTCTGCATTACCACTAACTAAACTGTTTGAACCTATTGTCAATGTAACTGATTTGCTTGTAATTTTAATTGAACTCATAATGTCCAACGGATTTTTGTTTAAATGTTATAGTAGCAGCGATAATATGAGTCGACAGATTCGTCATCTTCACTTTTTTCCTCATCGTCTTCCCTTTATCTATCTTTTTTCTTTTCAGTATTTTCATTCCAAATTTGTTCTGTGCTTACATAATGTTGATTAAAATATGCTTCGGCTAAATGGTGCTTTAACACGTGACTAGGCTTTATCAATTAACATAGAATCTACAATGTGGCAACTAAAGTCACACTTACTACTTAAATCCATAACCTATTAGGCCACTTCTAAATAAACACAGAAACCTAGCTCAAGCCGCACTTACCACTTAAGACCGTAACCTAAACAAATGGACACTACTGTCTTATTACTGAGACACACAAAAAGGGGTTAACAAAAAAGTGAAAAAGTGGAATAACAATAAAAAATCAAAATGGCAAACATAAGATGCAGAGGTGCATTCAAGCCCTCACGCCAATACTAACTAACCAACAACTACTACAATCATCTCAAAACAGAACTACAAGACAAAGAAAAATAACCAAAATTTAGTAAACTTATTAAGAGCATTATTAATAAGCATCTGGATGTTTATCAGTTTACTTAAAGTCATTAACAACGGTACCGTAAGTTAGAAATGAAATTGCAAAATACATAGGCCAAAACTTTGGTAACAGAAATCTAAAATTAATAATACGTAAAAATGATTATGACTCAGGTAACAACAAAGATAATCACCAAAAATTATAACAATTTGCAACAACCCAAAGCTCAAACAACAACCCACAAAATTAAAATAAAAAAAATTTTAACAGAATCAAAGTCAGAACTCACAAAATGTATGGCCTAAAGGCCATTGACGTAGATAATTTGACTGACGAAGACAACAAGAGCCTCGGACGTAAAAAAATTAGTAATGGAAGGAACGATTGAGGGCTGTAGATTTTTATTTCTTGTGGACACAGGATCTAAAACTAGCATAGTAAACACAAATAAGGTAAATAAAAATGTTTAACAAAATAATAAAATTCACACTATTAACACAAAGTTTCAAACTGATAACCTTTTATACCCGTTACTCGTAGAGTAAAAGGGTATACTAGATTCGTTGAAAAGTAGAAGGAAGCGTTTCCGACCCTATAAAGTATATATATTCTTGAGGATGAACAGCGAAGACGAATGAGCCGTGTCCGTCTGTCCGTATGAACGCTGAGATCTCAGGAACTATAAGAGATACAAAATTGAGCCCACAAGGCTCAAAAGAGGTTTTCAGATTTTCTAGAAAAGCTAATATCTCAGTAACTATAAGAGATAGAAAGTTCGGAGTGGGCATGTAGGTTTTTATGATGCTCCCAATGCGAATTGTTTTTTCCGATCAAGCCACGCCCACTCTAACGCACAACAAAACCCGAAAAAACAAAAATGCAAAAATCTCGAAAACTATAAGAGCTACAAAATTTTGCTTACGAACACGTATTTAAGAGATGCCTCTGCAACTTGCCACGAAGTTGCATCCGGCCACGCCCACTCCAACGCCCACAAACTGCGGTAAACTGTGGCGTCTATATTATTATTATGAATGCCTTTGTTTGACTTTGTATAACTTATTATAACAGTAACGGGTATCTTATAGTCGCGGCACTCGACTATAGCGTTTCCTCTTGTTTGTAATTATAGAAGCACCGAGTAAATTCCAATATTCCTCCAAAACGCGTTTAAAAAAGCATATGATTTTCTATTGGGTACGGTCTTTATCCAAAGAAACGTTAAAAATATACATTTTAAAAACAAAACTACTACAGTGAGCAATGAAGTTGAAATTCCATTCCAAGTAAGGGAATGTGTATTGGAAGTAAGTGAAATTGAAAACTTCAATTTAACAGGATTAAACGACGAAGCAACAGATACAATTATTAATTTGGACAAACGTTTTAAGAAACTATACTATTGAGAATGTGGCCATTAACAAGGTAACAAAGTACAAGGACTATAACAGATCAACCACTAACTCCAAAATCTATAGGATTTTCCCAAAATATGAGAATAAATTAGTAAACAAATTGCAGAAATGGGAAAAAATTGTATAATTAGGAAAAGTTAAAGAAAGAATAGAACCCAGGTAAATATCCTTTACCCTTAATGGACTTCATATTCTTGTGTGCATATCTATTATTTTGTTTTTAGTCTACTCCCTCAGCTGTCTCTCCTTTTCTGGCTTCTTATGGTATTCTTCGCTTTACTTTTTACGAACAGAACACTGAAGTGTCGCCGCAGCTGGCCATCTCCTTTTAATGCTTGGCGTTGTCTTTATTACTAATCGTATTATTTGAGATATTGATAACCAAGCCCTAAACACCAATGTGCCCGCTAGGCTCACTAGAAAATATATTTCTGTGTGCTTCATGAACCATTTAGCGTATTATGTTCGAGTTACTACTCCTACTAACTTAAAAATTGCTAACCTAAGAATAATTCACATTGGAGCATCATAAAAAAATACACCCTTAATCCGAACTTTCTATCCCTTATAGTTGCCGAGATATCAGCTTTTCTAGAAAATGCGAAAGCCGTCTTTATAGCTTGGTGGACGTAAGAGTAGGTGTGTCCGGATAATGGTACCACCATAAGATGCGCTGGCATCTGACTTTCAACTTGTTCAACTTTCTATCTCTAATAGTTCCTGAGATAACAGCGGTTTCAGTTTTTCCTGATTTGTGGCGTTAGAGTGGACGTGGCAGCATGCAAAAATAAACTTGCGCTGCGTGTGGACCTCAAGAATCTCCATGCTTTATCTTTATTTTGTATCTCTTATAGTTCCTGAGATCTCAGCGTTCATACGGACAGACAGACGGACGCACATGGCTTAATCGACTTCGCTATCGATACTGATCAAGAATATATATACTTTATAGGATCGGAAACGCTTCCTTCTACCTGTTACATACTTTTCAACGAATATAATATACCCTTTTACGAGTAACGGGTATAATTACTACTGAATTCTTTATTATTCTTTTTGCCAACCAGCTGTATATGCCTAAAAGTTATTTTTGACATGGTGTAAGTCAACATTCCTGTAAATGAATTTAAGTAGGTGTTGAATATAATCTAATCGGTTGGCAAGGCCTGCAGATTATCCGTCTTTTCCGAAAGCATTAAGTAATACATTTAGCAAATATTGCAATAAGTATGGTATAGCTGTACTAACTCGACCAGTTAAGGCCTGTGATGGAGATTGCGTCTTCAATAGTAGTTTAATATCCTTTTTATATAAAGAGTAATTGATTTTCGTCAAATACCATGTCTTTGGAGAACCTGGCTCTCTAAATAATATTTTTTTTATAAATGGATGAAATGAGATTCTTATTTTTTGATTCAATAGGTTTTATTGAAAATGTGTTCTTCGATTACCCATTCTCCAATCAGGATATTTACGTTTATTAACTGTTGTTTTCTTAAGCCCTATAGAAAATATATCATATATTCTGACAAAACTATTTTTTAATATGTTTCAGCTAACTATGAATGATTTCAGTGTGCATAGGATAATAGGACGTGGAGGTTTCGGAGAAGTGTATGGATGCCGAAAAGCAGATACTGGAAAAATGTATGCTATGAAATGCTTAGACAAAAAACGAATTAAGATGAAACAAGGAGAGATGCTAGCATTAAATGAACGAAACATGTTACAGGCAGTCAGCACTGGAGTAAGATTTTTTTAACACATTCTCTTGTAAAAAATTGTATTCCCTGAATTAAATATATATTCCTCAGATTGATTGTCCGTTTATTGTTTGCATGACATATGCATTTCATACCCCGGATAAACTTTGTTTTATATTAGACTTAATGAACGGTGGTGACCTGCACTACCACCTATCTCAACATGGAGTTTTTAATGAAGATGAAATGAAATTTTATGCAGCTGAGGTAAGTATTATTTTTATACTCGTAACTAGTAGAGTGAACTTAGTCATGATTAATAGCTCAGTGAATTTTGTAATGTCCGTGCATCCGTCAGTCTGTCTGTATGAACGATACGATATAATGAACTATAAGAGATATAAAGGGATTAAGAGTAGTTGTAAAATGCGGGTTTTGGGCCAGATTTATGGGCAATTAAATGTGACATTATTGATTTTTATCAATTAACTGTGACATTAATGATTTCAATTAAATTTCCCCCACCCCGCATCCCATTATTTGTCTATCGGTCCCTTCCATCAGAATGGATTCTGATGGAAGTTGTTTATCCTAATAAAGTGTCACTTCACACTCATGCATCTGATTTGTAAATAAACATTTTATTTATTCCTGACTTTAAGAATATCTTAGGAGGATGGGAACGACTTGAGGAAAGTTTCAAGTTGTTTATTAAAATTTAAGATTTACTTTAACAAAAAAAATGTGTTTATTTTATTGTTTCTTTATTTCAGTGTTTTTGTTTTAGTGTCTTGTTTTTAGTTTTCAATATATGATGAAATTATTAATTATTTGTCTGTAAGCAGTTATCTGAGGTCTTCTTTCCTGACTCATCAATCTGTTATATAGTCTGAAGTAGTTTTTCTTTTTTTTTTATTTTTTTCTCATTTATTTTTCTAGGTTATAATATATGTTCAAATTGTTTGCTGCCTCCCTTTCGTACTCAAATTTTTTATAACATCCACAAGTGTCTATTCCTTCCGTCTGGCTGTCTGTCATTACGATTTCCCCTCACTCACCAGTTGTTTATCCTAATAAGGGTCACTTCACACTCATGCATCTGATTTGTAAACATCTTTTAGAAGCATGTTACGTCATCTGTTGCGCACGTGCCGAATGTGGCAGAGCTTTGTTTAGGCACAGAAATTATGAACCCATGCATTTTTATTTTTTATTATATTTTATTTTATTTTAAAGAGATTTTTTAGCTTACTCTTAAACTACATTAGGTTTATTTATGTTTTTCCTGATCGCATTTTTTAGAGCAGTTCTTCTCGAAGTGAGTATCACATCCACAATAATTACAATAAATCAGTTGTGTGTATCCCCTTTTGCGCGTATCATTATCAAACAAACCCTGAACTTGTAGGTTCAACTATTTATTTATTACTGAAGCTTAAACATACGTTATAGTATTATAATATACTTCGTATCTTGGGTTCCAATATTACAAATAGCTCAAACAAATTATTTAGGGAACACCGTTGAGTTTGTCTTACGTATTTTACAATTGGTGAAAAAATTTGGTAGCTGGGTTAAGCTTCTTCCGATATTGGCCCCCGGAGCGCATGTTACGGCATCCAACTAGTTCTAATTTACCAGCTATACCAACTATTCTAATCTACCATTTGTTAGAAGAAGGTCGACGATCGTGAATAAAAAGTGAGTTGTGCAAAATCAGCCAGTCGCTATATCTGCCCGGTGTCCAGCAAGAATCCGCGCCACTCCGTAACACTGTTATAAGGTTATATAGTCTGAAGTACATTTTGTATATTTTATTTTCTTCTCATTCTTTTTTTCTAGATTAAAATATATGTTTATAATGTTCGTACTTAAATTTTCATGCGCATGCGCATGTTTCCAGTCTCGAATCGCTGTTACAGATGGTAAAGTCACCACATTTCATTGTTTTCAGATCTTGTGCATCCTGATTCATGAACATCATTTTTGTTCAAGGAAGGTATTGGAAATGATTTTCAAAAATCTTCCCATTAAATTGTAGAAAAAAATTATCAATTTCTTCAAGAAATTTCATTATTTATTGAAATGGTTTTCGAGAAACAGGTCTTGTCACAAGTGGTCTTAGCTTCAAAATGATGTGAATGCAAGTAGATGAGTTTTGTTTATTTTAAATTACTTTTAAAAATATCTAGAATGTTGTAAGCATAGTTGGGTATTTGGGTATTGGGTATTTTCGTTACTGGTGTCTTCAGCTCAGTTAAAATAGGTCAATAAGACCAGATTTTACTGTTTCAATTTGATATGATAGATCAATGACGATAATTGGAGCTTTCATTTTGAATTCCGTTGGTGTTAAAAATGGCTATGACTCACGATTGTAGTAACTAGATTAAATTGAATAAAAACGGATTCTTACTGAAATCAACACTTAAATTATTATATGGGTATCATTCAGAATTTAAATGAACCTTCAAGTTTGATAAATTATTTGTGATAAGTTTTCCGTTTAGTGTTTATCCAATTATTGCAAACCTTGGTCTTTCCCGATTTGCTGATAGTTTAACATTCCAATAGTGGTGGGTTCCTTGTCCTAATTTTGGGTTAACGTAGGAGTCCCAACTACGAAATGCAATAGGTAGGCTTAAACCACTTTTAATAACATCATACATCTTAATTTTTGCAATGTCACTGGGTGTCACATGAGGAATATTCCAGCTTATATTGGTCATTTCCAATTTAAAAGTTCTTTCCAATTTCTTTTTTTCAAAAACATCATCTAGGTTTTTGGTAAGCATTAGCACAAGTTCATGTTTACAATTCAACATAACCTTTTTATAGCCTTCTTCTTTCTTCTTCTTCAGTAGAAAAATCATCTCCTCCACTCTATCCTGACTTTAATAGATTTTTACTTTGAAGGTTATCAAGTGATAAAAAATTTTTAAGTGTAGTTGTCATACCGACAAATCGAGTTCTATCAATTTAAAAATAAAATAAATAAAACAAATAAAAATAAATATTTTGCAATTTAAAATTGCACGAAAAAAATGCGGTGCCGTGAACGGTGAAAAAGAAAAGGCCGAGAGAGTTATTTTCAAAGTTTTATTTTAGCAGCACTGCGACTGCGTTTCTGCAGCGATAAAGAACGAATGTATGGGGACGAGCCGAGCGATTGTCGACTCTCGAGCGCTAATCTCGGCTTGTCTTAAGATAAATGAGATAATTCAGCATACAGTGATGCTGAACAAATTGCAAACCATAATTTTGGTATTAGCTAGATAACTGCTCCCAACACATTGTTTTCTTCCAGTATATTTGTATTAATTTTTCCCCACGTAAATTTACTAAATCTCCCTTTTGATCTACGATGCGTATAAACAGTGTTCTTATTTCATCACAGTTGATTGGCCAGTAAATAAGATTATGTGGTGGAGGAACATTAATACTGAATTCATGCAGCGTATGATTGGGTGTATTGTCTTCATATGAACCACTAATGATGTTACATTCCAAACGAATAGTACTAATTTTTAAAACATTGACAGTCTGATCTGATATATATGTTTTTGTTGGGTGTGGCTCTAGAACTCTTTTATAAAAACCAAAAAGTTGACCAATTTATCGTTCCGTATTAAAGTAAACCGGCTTCCGAGTGCTGGTTATTTCCACTTGAAGAGTAATGTTATTGCTTTCAATTTTAAAAGATTTTTCAATACCGTAATCTTAAGTTTTTTATAAATATAATCAGTTATATCATTTAGTTCATAGGATCCAGTAGGAAGTTCTAATATGGAAGAGATTGTTTTTATCGTCTATATTTGGGATCGAATTATACATATTAATATCAATTAATGCACACTCAACGTCCATCCAATTCGATTGGTGGAAAGTAGTTTGTATTTATAACAGAACTAGTTCCATTTAAAGAGAAGGTCACAAATTTCCACGAATCTGTCGTACCCCATATCTGTATTAATATGATCTATATATATGTCGCATATTTAAATCGTCTTGTTTAAACATTATACAGGGTGACAATAAATAACCCGGACAAACTTTTTTTATCATAACGTTTTAAGGAACTGTATTTGAGAAAAAATGCAGATACACAACTATTAAATAGGTATTGTAATAACATATATTCAGCCGGTTTCGAAGTGGCAATGGACCGCAGGTCTTCTTCCGATAATCGATCCCATTCTCGGAGCAATGATTGCTTCAGCGCCTCCAAACTTATGTTGCGTTTAGCACATGCCCTGGACTCCAAAATATAACACACACTGTAGTACATCGGATTAAGATCTGGCGAGTAAGGTGGCCATTCACTGGATGTGATAAAGTCCGGAAATTTGGCTTTGCACCAGTCCTGAGTCAATTTGGCTCTATGGGCTGGCGCTAAATCCTGTTGAAACGTCCACTCCGTATCACCGAAGTGCTGCAATTGCAATCAATCAAACACTTTCTGGATTCACTCCCATTCCTTTAATAGGTTTTATTAATTTTTCCAAGTACTCATATTAAGGTTGATATAAGCTCTTAGAAAACACATAAATATTCTCGAATTTTAATCCGTTTGGACTCTATCAAACTGAGCATAATGTTGGTTTTACTACAATTTGAAGGTCCAACAATAAGATCTCTTATAGTATTCGGTAAGAGAGAACTATGTCGTGGTGAGTGCTTTTTATCGTTTTCATCGTTGATATTTCTAACGATATTTTTTTGTTTTTGACTTATTTTTTTAACTAATGTACCTCATTCGATGAGAAATCTTTGATAATTAAACATTAATATAATGCGGAAGCGTTTTTATAATCAACTCATTAGTCTTCTTTAAAAGAGGTGGTGGTCTTGTCATTCTTGCTAATTCATTACCGTTTGAAGCCCATATACCAGGATATAAATTTTGTGGACCGGGTACAAAGCTAGAAAAACGTTTGAAGCGAGGTAAAGAGCACGATATTGCCTATTCCCATAAAAAGGATTTACTTGAACGTCAAATTGCAGATTCTATATTAATTGATAAAGCTTGGTCACGTGTAAAAGTACTAGCACTCTTGGTGAAATAGCAGCAGCATATTTTATAACCAACATTATGAAAACAAAGAAAAAGTTTGGAATGGGAATATCAAAAACAAAAAAAAATGTAAAGGGAAGACGACGAGGAAAAAAGTAAAGATGACGAATCTGTCGACTGTTATTAACGCTGCTACTAGAACATTAAAAAAAAAACAAAATCAAAAGCAAAACAAAAAGTTCAAAGAAAAACG